AGGTCTTTATGAAACAGTTTAATCTGACCATCAGTGTAATCCAGATTAAGAACGAGCTTCCTGAGACCTTCATAGTGCTGAAGAATGTTTTACTGAAATGTTAAAGTAATCCGCAAAATCTTTCATGAAACTTCACAAAGTTCAGGAAGTGTTCCCGTTAGGCCCCGTCAACGACGCTGCGCTTAGTTTTAAATGTTTTTTTCTCTCGTTTATTCAAAGTAAATCTGCACTCAAACAACTTTAAGAACAGTCTTACCCCGCGCAACATTTACATCAGAATACAGAGAAAGATTTGATCGTTTCTGCTTGGCCTAAAGTTTGTCCTGATATTGTTTGTTTTCTTTGACACATCCCAGATTTTTCTGTTATTAACCGTTTCAAAACACAATTCAAGTTTAAAGAAAAGAAAAAAACATTAATGTTTTGGTTTCTAAGGTTCAGCATAATGATGAGGGTAAAGAATTATGAGATTAGTAAAAAATAAAATAGAACCCTTCATATTTCAAATCCTTGTGGATAAAAACAGTATTCTTCAAGAGGCTCCGCCCCTTTTTGGGTATAAACAAGCAATGTAAAACTTCTTGAAAACAGAAAGGAGTTGTGCCTCAAAGTTTCGGCAGTGAAAATAAAAAAAACATAATTTCTACATTTGTTTGCTTCTCTAAAAGAACAGATACGAGGCTTCAGGCCGGGAGCAGCAAGGGATTAACCCTCCTGCTGCCTTCGGGTCAAAATGACCCTCGAGACCTCAGTTTTAAACTTTGGCATCAGTTTTTTCTTCTCTTTATGTAAATAAGTCTAAACTAGATGGTCAGTAAATAAAACGAACACGGTGGAAGGAGAACTGTACCTGTGGTGAGGTTACTTGAAGATGATTGTTGTTAGTTTTGGACTTTTCTTCTGCAGCTGCCTCTCCATTATTCTCATTAGCATGCTGTTTAACAATGACATAATTAGTTTGCTGTTACTTTCATACAACAGACGGCTAAATAAAGACACGCCGTCAGTGAAATAACCCCCGGATTCATGGCACATCACTGCAGGTCTCTGGATGGCGCCGTTCGTCCAGCCTCCCATCCAGATTTATGATTTATGTGCGATGCTGTGATTATAGAGAGCAGGAGGCTCTGCTTGTCTGACACATCATAATATTTGGCCAGTTTAATCAAAGCACTTCTGTAGTTTTTATCAAACGCTTCAGGATGTTTGTTTACTCTCAGTCCAAAAGGATGGGTTGTTTTCTCCAAAAAGGGGCGGAGCTTCGAGGAGCTTGTCTGAAGGAGTGGGGGTTGATGATTATGTTTGAATTTTTATTCTTTGCGTTTTTATATTCATCTCACCCAAGTCCTGCTGAGCTGCAGGTTGACTTTATTTAAATAAATCAAAAAGTAGAAAGATTAAACTCAAATCTCTTGACCGTCAGTCAATAATAATAAAAATGACAAATTAGAGGTGTTTTTATTTCTGTGCAGTGGAATGAGCATCAGTTGTAAACGCAGACACGTCAGGTTTAAACTGATTCTGTGATTTTCTGCCTGCAGTTTTCGATGAAGAGGACAGGAGGAAGAGAAGCCCAGGAGGTGACTTCAGCTGGTTGAGGGTTCTCCTTGGAGTCGGAGCGATTTATTTAGCTGCTAAATGTTTCAGCTGGTTGATCAGGAGCTGCTTGAAAAGCAGTGATAAGAGCTACCTCCTCCGGATGATTCCTCCGAGGACTCCGGGTTTTCCACAGTCTCACATCATGCTGGATTACGTTTACTAATCCCTCAGACTTTAACGACCCCACACTGAAGCTTTTACTAAAAACACGTGAAGCTTGATTTTAATGCATCAAAGTTCATGCTCAATCATCCAGGTACCAAATACCTTGATTATAAAGTTTGTAGCTTTTATCTTTAGAAGCATAAACTCTGTCATCATTTCCTGTTCTTTAACTCTAAAAAGAGTCGCAGAACTCAAATGTTTTTATTGTGATCCTGTTTAGCTTTAAAGCTGTCACATGAATTCATTTTACTTCAAGATTTTAATGTTTTCCTATTTTTTTATTGTCAACTCTTTTGGGGATTAGAGTTGTAAATCTGCTGTAAACTTTATATTTGCACTGGAAGTTTGTTTTTACGTTTTTGTTTTGTTTCTGAAACAACAACAACAACAAAAAAAAGGTAACTTAAAGAAATAAAAACCAGCTCTGAGACGGAACTAAACTCCGATGTTTAACTCACAAATGTGTTTGTAAGTAAAGTTTCTTTATATTGCTCCTTTTATAGATATTGCATCACAAAGTGTTTCACAATAAAAGGAAAATCTAAACACACAAACATTTATACTAATGTAACAACATAAAATATACAAGTGTTAAAATGTCACAGTGCAGTGTCTAAAGGTCCATCATAAAATGTTATAGCTGTTCTTTTTATTAAATGTATCAGTTGAATGTAAATGTAATGAAGACCGATCTATGGAGATAAATCAGTCTCAAAAGGAAGAACAAGAAGATCCACAAGTTTTACTAACGGACACATCTCAATATCCTGCACAAACTGTCAAATACACGTGCACGAATCACCTGCTGTGCACGGATCAGCCGCCTGTGAACTTCACTTTAGAGACTTTCTCACCTCCAGGTGCACAAAGGTGATGCTGCGTTCAGGGCTGGCTGGGACATCTGAGTCACCAGACTCACTGAGTTATTGGAAAAGACTCATTTCTAGCTTGGCTCAGGAGCTCATGGATCAAAACACAAACTGTCGTTTTGGTAACGGTTAGGACATTCTTGGTCAAAGTTTACAGATGTTTTTAACTACTAGGCCAGGGGTGTCCTGATGTTTTCATTTGTGGGCCAAAATTATCAAGATGAAAGGACTCGTGGGCCACAAAAATGTGAATTTAACTCTCAACGTGAACGATATTTTGGAGAAAGGACAAAAGTTTACTAATTTTGGTGGAGAAAGAGTTTTAAATTGTTGTAGATCACAAACATTAAAAGCCTCATAAACACTAAGCTTATATGTTTTATTTAAAAGGATTTGATATGTTTGATTTGTTGTGTCCATGGTTGTTGTTTTCTTGTGTTTGGAAAATTTATTTTGGTCTGTTCTCAGCAACAAAAGTTTAATATGAGTAAGTGTCCTTTTAAAAGGGGGTCGATCAACCGTTTGGACCATGGACGGCCCAAAAGGTTGATCGAAGTTCTGAAAAACCGTCCAGCTGTCAGTCGCTACAGCAAAGTTGATCCACTCGCATGTAGATGATACCACGTTATATTCATTTAAAATGTCCAATTTCCTTCTTGGTTATTTTATCAACTACAATATTTAGCCAAGTTTTTTGAAACATTATCCAAAAGTTTCCTTTCTGGTAGAAACCAGTAAAGGTTTTTGGTACTTTGTACCATGAAGTGAAAATAAAATGATTACAATCAAGTTTGTATTTCCTTTAATGTTGCTCATTATGAGAAGATTGTTTTTCATCCGTTTTGCTGTTAAACCTAAACATTATATAAAAAAGGATTTCCAACAAATCTGCAGAAAGTCTGCATCGACCTCTTAAGCCTGTTGGACAAAATGATACCATTAAACTGCAGCTGTGGGCCGCACAAAATCACTGCAAGGGCCGTAAATGGCCCTCGGGCCGCACTTTGGACACCCACGTACAGACTAAGAATGTTAACTCTGCCCATGAACCATATGTTTGGGTTAGCAGAGAGACCTGTACTTCATGTGTACTTCATGTGTACTTCCTGTATATCTGTGTCAACTGTGAAAATCTGACCTTGCAAGTAAATTCAGGTTAAAAATCTCTGTCTCCTACTTTTGAAGTGAGATAAAGCGAGGATATTTTTCTCCAACAGCAACCATGAGCTCAACCAGACCTCAGAGCTGAACGCTGAAGCAGCACTATGAAGACCAAGGACAAAGATAAGCTCCACAGGTACACCAGGTCAGCAGTGCAGGATGGACCTGAGACCAGAGGCTCTGCAGAGGAGACCATTTGGCTCCTTTTCCAAATGTTTGTCTTAGATATAATGTTCCAGAACGATCCTTGTAGATTTGAGGTTTGGAGGGAGAACACAACAAGTAAGATAAGACAGTCAAGTCACATTTATTTATATAGCACATTTAAAACAGTAACTGTTACCAATGTGCTTACCAAAAAAAATCACAGCATCAAATATTAATAACAACATATTACAACAACATGAATAAAAGCATAAAAACATGAAATGTAATGAGAAACAATGAAATACTAAATCAAATCACCCTGCGTTAAATGTCAGGGAGTAAAAGCAAAATGGATGAACACAATCATCAACAACGAAATACCAAATGAGATCACACTGTGTTAAATGCCAATGAGTACAGATGTGTTTTGAGGAGAGATTTAAAAATAGAGACTGAGGTGGCCTGTCGAATGTTGATGGGCAGAGTAAAAAGACGTTTATTAAAGCATCAAAATGCACGTTTTTATTTTATTTTTACAAAAACTGCAGTTTCAGCTTCTTCAGGCCTGAACAGTCATTTCAAGATGGAGAAATGTTGGGAGCCAAAAACTCAGAAGTCTCTTCAGCAGCCTTAACATGTGAAAACCTTTTTCTGCCGTTAGATTTGGAGCCTGAGAGTTTTTTGGACGAGGCTTTTTCAGATTTCATTAGTTTTTTTCATCATTTTTCACCTCAATGGGACCACAGCAGATCCAACGGAGGGAAGTTCTGCTTGAAACTGAAACCAACATAAAACAATGATCCTGTGAAGAAAGGCAGATGAATTGATAATTGTTTTTATCAAAACGATCTGAGCTCATGAAGGAATGTGATGCAGTCACAGGAACTGTCTTCTGACAGACTGAACTTATATTTGGAGTGAATTTGAACAAACAGGACAAACTTAAAGGTTTCCAAATGATACGGGTCGTCGTGTTGTGATAAATGGGAACAGAAACCTCCACGTGACTCGACCCGGTGCTCTACAAGAAGACACATCTCCTGCTGACTGGAGGCTGTGATGGAGTCCCAGGACCAGATCTACGTGAACCTGGAGGAGCTGGACTACCACAAACCCCCACAGGGTACGTTTTAAAATGATTTTATTAAGAACTGGAGGCCAAAATAAGAACCAGCAGCTTTTTGTGTTCAGAGTTTCAGTAAAATTAAAGAACTAGATCTCTGGAGACCAACTGAAATTTCATAAAAAGGTTTTAATGAGGATTTCTCAAAGTTCATGCTCAATAATCCAGGTAGAAAATCCAACTAAGTTCAGTTGTCTGGACGGTTTCTTTTTTTCTGTTGAGACGTTTCATCCTTCATCCAAAGGACTTCATCAGTTCGAGTCTCAACAGAAAAAAAGCAACTGTCCAGATGACCTGACTGAACTTTGTTGGATTTTCTACCTGGATTATTGAGCATGAACTTTGATGTTTTGAACCACTTTGGCTGTGGCTGCCTCAGAGGAGTCGACAGGGGAGAGGGTGGACTCCAGAAACCATCTTAACACCATCAAACCGGTTGGTCCACTGTGTGGGGGTGCTGCTTGTGGAACTCAGTTTGTTTGCGGCTCCTCAGATTGATGAAGTCCTTTAGATGAAGTTGGACGAGGATTTGTGTTTCTATTCTGACAAACAAATCTGTTGTAAGACTTTATATTGTGTTTGCTGAAATGTGAGATTATTTATCTCCAGATAAATAATTTATAATAATAATTTATAATAATAATTTTCTGCAGGGTTCTCTCCACACAGAAACTGTTTGTCTGAGGCTTACTTTTTACTCTGTGGTTCTGTCTGAAGTGATGCTGGGTGCTGCCCCTCCCCTTTCAGTGACTCAGCAGCTTCTGAGTCTTCTATTACCCACCATGCCTTTCTTCCTCCTGTTTCCATCATGGCCACCAACAAAGATCGTCATATCGTCTCTGATCAGAGCTTTGATGTTCAGGAGGTTAGCGGGTCGGCAGGAAACAAGAGGGCTGAGGCTGGAGTTTCAAAATAAAGCTTGTGGATAATCTTCAAAATAAGAGTCTGTCTCTGTCATAATCACAAACGTTCCAGCTTCCCGCTCACCTTTAGAGAAGAATGGTGATGGATTCCTGAAATAAATTGCATCATAAAGTTCTAGAATTGTGCCGCTCGGGGCGGCTGCATGTTGGAGTCGCTCTGTTACGTTCATTCTGAGTTATTGCTTTTGAAAACTTAAATTCCTCTTTTTTCTGGATGTAAATCACTGTTCAGATGATTATTTCCTCTGGTATCAGATGCTGTGCAGCTGGAAGGATTTTTACTGAAACCTTTTTCCTTTTGGGCATTTGTTATGATGCGTAACCATGGCAACAAGTTTTTTTTTTTACAATCAGGAGCAGCTGATTAACATCTCAAAAGCTCAAAGACCTCAACTGCAGCCCAAAATCCCAAATGAGTTGAAAAGGAGGCGCCGTGGACGAATTCCCATCAACCTGGCGTTGGTGCTCGAGTACTTGACCGCTGAGATCCTGGAGCTGGTGGGAAACTTGACTTGTGACAACAGGAGGACCGGGATCATCCCCCGGCACCTTCAGCTGTCTGTCCGTGGCGATAAGGTGCTCGGCACACTGCTGGGAGGCGTGACCATCGTTCAGGGAGGAATTCTGCCCGGCATTCAGGCCGTCCTGCTGCCCAGGAGGACTGAGAGGCCCGCCGGATCTGACAGCAAGCTGGATCTGGGAACATGGATCGGTATCTGTGGTCAGATTCTTCGGATTCATTGCAGGAGATCCTTCCTGCCCACAGCTATCAGCATCCAACAACTATTGAATGAAACCAGGATGATGAGCTACAACACTTTATTTCCCTTTGGGCTTAATAACGTATTTTTTAATTGAAATAAATAAAGGAAACAATAAATCACAACATAAATGTTTGAATTCATTCAAATTTCTCAGGGACATTATTTGTCTCAGCTTAATGAAATCCTGCTCATAAATGTTGTCTTGCTTCTTGCAACTTGACTTGGTGTTTCAGGTCCCACAGTGGGGTCTGGACTCCAGCGTTGGGTTGATGGATGAGTTTTGAATAAAAGTTCATTTAATGTTCTGTTGTGTTTTGTTACAGTCTGTGCACCTGCAGGAGACAAACCGCTGAAAACTGAGTCTGTGGCTGGGAGGGAAACTGAAAGCGGCGGCTCTATTAAAGTTCTGGCGGTCTGTTTGGGCCTGCTGAGCTTCATCCTGCTGGTCTCGGTCGTAGCTGTGGCTGTGAGCTGTGAGTATCCGTCAGAAACTGGAAGGAGAGCCGGCACTCGGGTCATCAGATGTTCTGACTGCCGGGTTCTGTCCCTCAGATAACAGAGACGTCCATCAGCTGACCGGACACCTGGCCAATCAGACGGCAGAATGGAGGCAGCTTCTGATCAGGCACCAGAACCTGACCCACGAGAGGGACTGGCTAAACGTCAGTCTGGAGGTGGCAGAAGTGAAACTGGACCGACTGAGGAAGAGCTCTGGTGAGCAGGAAGTGCCTTAGTTAAGATTTAAAGTTTGTGAAGAAGAAGACGACCTTGGTGACGTCTCTGTGTCCTCAGTGACGTGTCCTGACGGGTGGAGGAGGTTCGGCTGCCACTGCTACCTGCTGTCTTCAACCAGGGACACCTGGGAGTCCAGCAGACATCAGTGTTCAGGACTCGGAGCGGACCTGGTCATCGTCAACAGCCAGAAGGAGATGGTGAGGTTCTCCCTGACCTAAAAACACTTCAACACGTCACTCGGAAGTAAATCAGATGTTTTTGATTTCCTGTAAGATGTTTCTGAACAATCTGGGAACTCAGCTGAAGTTCTGGATCGCTTTGAGGCAAAGCTACGCTGGAAGTCCATGGACCTGGACTGATGGAGCATCACCAGGAGAAATGTAGGTCTTTACAGATTGTTTCGCTGTTCTGACGTCCCCCACAGACAGTCCTGTCTGGACCGCCAGCTCAGACCACAGCAGAACCATCAGTCAGAATTTAAACGGGTCACTGCTGTTTTCACAAATTCAACACTTTTTACACGATCACACGGAGACGTTCACCTCAGAGCTTCAAGTCTGATTAATTATTCAGGTTTTTAAACTTTTTAACATTTTGGCAAACAAACTATTTCCATAGTCTTCCCCTTCGTCTCCAGTTTCTCCATCCAGTCCTAGATATTTTTGACCTCGTTCCCTCCATGTGTCTTCCTGTTGCAGGACTGATTTCTCTCTAACCCCTCCAGAGGTCAGAGGTCACACACCCAAACTCTCATTGACTTCCAGAAAAGGAATCCTGAGGCCACTGAAGTGGAAACCCTCCGCCCCCTGGCTGCACTGAGAATATCTGTCCACAAAAGTTATGAACAGAATCGATGACAATGGTCAGCCCTGGTGAAGTCCAACTCCCACCCTGAAGAGGTCCAATTTACTGCCGGCAATGCGAACCAAACTCTCGCGCCTTTTGTATAGGGCCCGAACAGCCCATAACAAAGGACCCCCAATCCCATACTCTTGGAGAACCCCCCACAGTGTATCCTGAGGAACAGTCAACAGCCTTCTCCAAGTCCACAAAACACATGTAGTAGACTAGAAGGGTAAACTCCCATAACCCCTTGAGGACCCTAGGGTAAAGAGCAGATCCAGTGTTCCACTGCCAGGAAAGAACCCGCATTGTTCCTCCTCGATCTGAGGTTCGATCAATGATCAGACTCGCTTCTGCAGTACCCTTGAATAGACATTACCAGAGAGGCTAAGGAGAGTTATGCCCCTATAATTGGAGCACACCCTCCGGTTCCCCTTTTTTAACAGTGGAACCACCACTTCAGTGAGCTAATCCAATGGCACTGCGATGCTGCAAAGGCGTGTCAACCAAGATAGCCCCATAACATCCAGAGCCCTCAGGAAATCAGGGCGGATTTCATCCACTCAGAGCCCTGCTGCCGTGGAGCTTTTAACTACCTCGGCGACCTCAGCCACGGTTACGAACAGAACAACCCTGAAGTCCCCCGACTCAGCTTCCTCCATTGAAGACGTGCTGGTGGGATTGAGAAGGTCCAAGAAGTATTCCTTCCACTTCCCAACGACATCACTGGTTGAGGTCGACAGCACCCCACCTTCACTGAAAACAGTGTTGGTAAAGCGCTGCTTTCCCCTCCTCAGCCGCCTGATGGTTTCTTGAATCTTCTCTGAGCCAACTGAGAGTCTCTATCCAAGGCCTCACCAGTTTCCTCCCACATCCAAACTTTTGCCTCATCAACAGACAAGATTGCGGACCGCTTGGCCCTCTGTTACTCCTCAGCTTCCTCCGGAGTCAGGAGGAGAACTCAGTATTTAAGTAAAACAAAACGTAAAGAGCAAACAGAAAGAGGTTTAAAAATAAATCTCGGGGACAACTGTCCTAGAAACAAACTGAATGACAAACCCTCCGGTTTGTTCTTCATCAAATTCAACTCAAAGTTTTGGAGAAATAGTCAGAATACAGAAACTCTCAGTGCCTTGCTCTGCCTCGTTTCTCTTCTGTTTACAGTGGTGGGCACAGCGCCGCTAACCCGCTAACAGCTAACAGCTAACAGTGGAGAATTTTTTGTTTTGTTTAGCGGATTAGCATTTTTGCTAACTTTGGAAACAGCGGAGTTCGTTTCTGCTTAATTAGGTTTCGCCAAATTTAAACAGCTAACAATTTCACAATCTTGTTCCTGTCTGCTGTGGGCGTGTCTCGAGGAGTCCGTGACTACGTGTACACTTAAAAAAGCTTTAATTAACTTTAATTAACATGATTGGTCGTCTGAGTGGTTAGCAGTTTAGCGTTAGCGAAACTAATCTTTTTGGTTAGCCGTGCCCCCCACTGTCTGTTTCTAATTTCACTGAAGGAACGTTGTTATTCTTTAAGAAATTCATCCCCCTCCCTCGCGTCCCGTACATCGTTATCAGAACCAAACCCGTCCGATTCCACACTGCTGCAGGCAGAGATACGGCGGGAAGTTGGCTGGAAGATAATCATTCGTCAAGGATTTCCAGGGAATTGAAAATAAATAAATAAAACAACAAACCAAGAACTTTCTGCTGCTCTTCTCTTTCTGCGGATAACCACAACAAAATCCACCCATCCATCATCTTTACCTGCTTCTTCCTTATTCGAGTCGCAGGGGTCACTGGTGCCCATGTCCAGCTATCACTGTGATGGACAGGTCTCCAGTCCAGGGACAAACGAGACAAACAAATATTCACTCTCACTTAGGGACAGTTTAGAGTTTCCAATCAGTCTAACATGCATGTTTTTGGTCTGTGGGAGTACCTGGAGAAAACTCACGCATGCACAGAGAGAACATGCAAACTCCACCCAGAAAGGCCCCCGGACCAGGATTTGAACCGGGGCAACCTGCTGCAGCAGCTCTACCAACTGTACCACCGTGTTGCCCACCACATCAAAATGATTATAATAATCGTACTGACATCGTGACCTAAAATAAAATAAAAATCATGAATAATATTCTACAACACATACATTTTGTATCAGGAAACAGTCAATAAATTATATATTTCAATCACACACTCTTCAAAATAAAAGCCTGTCTCAGATTATTACAAAGAGGAAAGTTGATGTTGGAGTTGCTGCATTTATGAACTACAGAGTTTCTAGTTTGTCCTTGTTTTCTTCTGTTTTTAATTTATTTTAAACCCTGCCAAGTAAACAAAAGTAACACAATCACTGTTCCCTGAGTTTAAACGTTATTTGAATCACTCACGACTCTTGGAATCAACACGTTTTTTTAAATTTCTTCTGATTTTCCCTGCAGGTTTTGGCAGGCGGGACAGCCTCAGTCTTTAGTCCGTCCCTTCAAGACTCAGAACTGTGCGGCCTTTAACAGTTTTTCAGGCGTTCTGTGGTTCGTTCAGTCGTGGAGCAGCGAGCCGTGTTCGCAGTTCCTGCAGTGGGTTTGTGAAAAACAGGCTGATTCTTCTGAGCTCCTGATCTAAGATCAGTTTAATATTTTCTGGGTGAGTTCAGGTTGTGTTGGAATAAACAATGACATCATTGATGTATAATTATCCCTAATAAATATACATGTGTTTGTTACTGACTGATTTCTGTCAACCGTCATAAAGTTTGATCTGTACACAAAAATAAAATTGCCAGACTTTGTGTGTTTTCATTTTTGCAGCTTTTGCATGTCCGTCCGTCCATCCATCCATCCATCCATCCATCCATCCATCCATCCATCCATCCATATTTAAAGTTGGTTCATGAAGGTAACAGGTCCAGGAGGAAAACCCAAATCTCTGTTCCTCCCAGAGACATTCTCTTGCTCCTCCTGGAGGATCTGAAGCTGTTCCCAGGCCAGAGAGGATCCACAATTTCTCCACAGAGTTCTGGTCTGCTCTCCCAGCGGGATGTGCCATGTGGTCATGTTTGTTGCATCATCGGTCTCAAGGTCTATGATGCCCCGCTCTACCATGAGAGATCTCTCAACAGCTGCAATGTTTTCAGCTGTAGGGTCTTGGGGGAATGATAACACTAGACCGAGGCCATCTTTGTGCTGTCAGACACATGATGGGACATAACTGGAAGATCTGCGTCCATGTTAATAGAAGTCCATGTCAGAAGTCAGTCATGCCTCAGTTGAACCTTGGCCTTATTCTCCTCCTCAGATCCACCATCTTCTTCAGAGCCTGTCTCGATGGCAGAGTGGCTGTGGACTCCTTGCAGTCCTGATAATCCAGGATGGAGGTTCATGAAGCTCCTTCTTTCAAACACAGATCGTGACATTTTCTGTTGGTGTTTCTGTTACTTTGAGCCAAGAACGTTGGGTTACAAAAGACACAAAAAGTCTTGAGGGTTAAAATCCTGGACTTAGTATTTAGAAACATGCATGAAAAAGACCTGGGTTGCTTTAGAAAAAAATCAGATTTGTCACATTCAGACAGTCTGAAAGAATCCGATGTGGGTCTCACAGATTTGGCCACTTTGGCCTGCAGCGTGAAGTCAGCCTTAGTTGTGGTTCTGCTGCGTTATCTAATGTTTTCTAACTACAACCATGTAATTTGCTTTAATATGAACAGATGATGTAATCAATAATTGGTGCAGTAAAAATATCTTAAGATTTAAACAACCGCCCCATCTTTTCTGAACTTTTCTTGCAGGCATGAGATTGAAAGTGTCAGAGCTTCAGTGTTCCACCAGATGTCCCTGTTCTGTCGGACTGAAGCTTTGAGTCCAACCAGGCGGAGTCAGGTCCTCTGGACGGATTCTTCTTTGTTGTAACTTTTATTCAAAAGACCTTCAGTCCAAGGAGCTGCAACAAACTCAGTCTTTGAAGCTGCTTCTTCTCATGGAGGTGATTTTAACTAATATATCTTCATGTTTTCAGTTTGTGATGACTAAACAAAAAACAATGTTGTGAGAAGGTTGCAGGTTCCACTCCCAGCTTTTCTGGGTGGAGTTTACATGTTCTCCCTGTTTTTTGTTTTTTTTCCCAGTTACTCCAGTTTCCTGCCACAAATCAAAAACATGCACATTAGACTGATTGATAACTGTCCCTGAGTGTGAATGGTTGTTTGCGTCTATGTGTCGCTGAGATGGACTGAGACGTGTCCACGGTGTCCCCCGCCTCTCGCACGGTGACACCAGCTCCCTGAGACCCAGACAGGAGAAGTGGATTAAGACGAGGATTGGTGGTTAAATAATTTGGACAGATTTGTTGGTCTCCTTAAATAGAAAATTAATATTTAAAACACAGAAGTTTCAAACCAACTGTTGACATTGGTTAGTATCTCAGGAGTCTTCAAACTTCTCATCAAACATTGAGTCTGTTGAAAAGGAACAAACAGACCCATTTGGTTCTGTTCACATCGAACACGCAGCACAGAAATACACAACTGTCTGATCACAGAGGTCCACGTTGGAGGTAAAGCAGCTTCATGGTCCTCTGACCAGAGCTGACAGGATTCATAAAAAGCAGAAAATTCACAGGGCTGTGGTCAACCTCCCAGCTTCTGGACGCAAGAGGAAATGCAACCCCAGACCAATCAGTGAGGATGATAGAAAATGAGCCAAGGGTCCAAAACCATTTAAGGTGAAAAGTTAGAGAACCATTCGTCACATTTTGACTCATAACGATGGGAAAAGACTCCACGGATGGTAGAAAAACACAAAACGTCCAAAATTCATGATGAGAACAAAAGTTTCTGACAGATGAGACAAAACTTGGAGGATTTTATCTTCAGTTACATCAGTTTTTTATTTATTTATTTATTGTAGGAGGTTACCAACTGATCTGTCTGTAGTTAAAGGACGTCTGGAGCCCAGAAAAGACTAAACTTTCTGACGTGTTCTCCTGGTTTTCCATCATCTGGAGCCACTTTGGGTCCTAAAACCTCCTCTACTCAGAAACTGAAGCAGGTACGAGACTTTATGGACTCTGGCTCTTCCTGGACTTCTCAGTTTTTACGTTATTTTTTAAACGTGTACATTTTTATTTATTTTTTTACTTTAGGCTTTTAGAGCCGAGATGGGGTAGAGGGATCTGGGACCCCAAAGCCCCAGGTTCAATCCCCAGCCATTCCCACATGCCTCAGTGCCTCTGAGTAAGACATCCAATCCCCAATTGTCCCCCAGGCACCCACATAGCTGCCCACCACCCCAGCTGGGTGCATCCCAGGCGCGATGGGCTAAATGCAGAGAACCAGTTTTGCCATTGTATGTGAACATACAACGATGACACATAGCACTTTATTTTAGTTGAGGTCCCGTCTTCCTGCCAGCAGGGGCCGTCACAACTAAAGATGTTTTTAAAAGTTGGTCTCTGGCTGAAAAACATTAATGACTTTGATCCTAAAGGAGATGATGACAGCGGTTGGAAGCAAGCAGGTGAACATTTGCATCCTTTCTTACAACAATAACTGACTCCAGATGATAAATTAAACCGGTTCTCACCCGTGTGTTGACGTGTTTTTCAGCTCTGCCTCAGGTCAGGCAAGTGGACACTTCATGAGACGGAGAAACCACCTAAATATGATCCAACCAAAGGACAATAGACCTGAGCAGAAAGTCCCCTGAGCAGGTAACAAAGAACACATTAAGGTTTGCTTTCACTCCCAGATATTTACTGTTTAAACATCTTTCATTACATCTCGTTTATCTCAGTAATATCCTCTGGCTACACATGTCCAATATGGACATTCTTGTCCTCATGAGTCCCTTGTCCTTGAAATGTAGGTGGACAGAAGAGTCATCTCCTGTTGTAGAAAAACATAAAGGTCTGACCTCACCTGGTTATATCTATTGTTAGTTTGCTGTGAAGTTTTTATATCTTTTACATTTCTCTGCTGATTAACAGAAGCTCACTTTGGGCTTCTGCAGGTTCAAACAGGTCTGCAGTCCACACCTTCATGTAGGTGGCCAAAACATCTCCCATGGACCAAACACCCAGAAGAGAGGGAGAGTGTTGTGCACACAATATGTGCATGTGGGAGGTTTCAGAGCACACGGAGGGCTCGTGTTGAACAGTTTGTTTTTAAAGAGAAAGAAGCTTTGTCAGGTTTGGTTTTGATGAAAATCGTTTGACTTTGTTGATCTTTGGTTACACCTCTGTGTTGGCTCTGGTCCATGGCGTGACCTTTGACATCAGGAGGAAGAAAACACGAGTTTAAATCTGCAGCGAAGCTCGGGACGCTCCACAAAACTCCTTTATGAACGTCTGAAACCCAACAAGGTTTGAAATGTGAGAAGTCCTCATGAAATAATGTGATAAACAGTAACTGAAGCTGGTGTAAAAAAAACTAAACAAATTCGAATAAAAGCCATAAATATAAAGACAGATGAAATGTTTACAACAAACAGTCTTTGGTATATACAGTCAGCAGCTCGTTCAACTCTGAAATGTCCTGTTCCCAGTTAAATGGCTGCAGGTTCTGTCTGGGATCTTTGATGTTCCATTTTAGCATAGATTGTTGTTAGACTGGACTGGTCAGCAGGACCTGGTGGTTCTGGAAGATTTTCTTCCTGAGGAAATAAAACCAGAAAGAGAGAACCATCTGAATCAGGCTGTTTGTTTCTGCGGGTAAAAAACCTGCTGACAGATTTAAAACTGCAGTCGGAACATTCAGAGACCAAAAAGACAAAAATACTTTTTGTTGTCTCAGGACATTTTTACTGCAGATGAAAATCAGGTCCAACATTTCAGTGAATAAAACCAAATCTTTTACTCAAAGGAGAAAAATGTCACAGCACAACTCAAACTGTGAAGAAAACCGAGTATTATTATTCTCTGGATCACATGTCTGAGGTAAAATTAGCATTTTAAAAATTGTGTTCTTACTGTATCGTCATTTTTCATAAACCTGTCAGTAACTGTGAGCTACAAGTGAGTCCTAAAAACGACATTACCACCAAGACATTAATTACAAACAGGAAGTCATGACTCGCTCTACACTGCTTCTGACTAAACCAAAGTCAGGCGATCAGGTGATGCACAAGGAGCCAATCAGAGGCTCAGCTGAGCAAACCATCATAAATCCAGTCTGTTCTCAGGGAGGTGGATGGTTCTTGTCAGGAAACACTCAGCCTGTTGGGAATTTAAGTCTTCACCAAACACGATGAGGATATATAATAACACGAGAGTGGAGCAACACATCCTGGTAATAAGCCTCTAAGCCCCGCCTCTTTTGGGGGGAAACAACCTTTGAGCTCCGCCTACTTTTGGAGGAAACAACCTGGCAGGAGATGAAACTCAGCTTCTGATTTGATTGAAGCGTTACTCTGAGGCTTTTTTAGTCCCTACACATCCTGTCCTGTCAGGAAAATATTTATTCGCTGATCAACGGTCTTCAACTTTTTATAGAAATAAAATAAAATAAATATGGACTGCAGTTTCAGACTGGACAAATGTTTTTTTGAGCCGATTTATTTTGTGTCAGTAAAAGTAAAATAAAAAAAAAACAAAAAAAAAAACGTAATAATAAATAATAAATATAAAAAGCTGAACTAAAATCCTTCAAGGTGGATTAACCAGGAGCTGCAGGCCAGTCTTTAGATTTAGTGACAAAATAAAGATTGATGGATTAAAATGAAACAACAAATAGAAATACTTCCTCTCATACTTTGAGCTTAATGAATGATGATATGATCATATTTATGGGGATTAATTAAAGAAGACGCCAGAGGCTCACAATCAGGGATCCCAGAAGTTTCTCTCATCCTCAGCATGTCAGCTGGAGGATCAGCCTCTGAGGCTTCATCTGCTTCACCTGTTGCTGCTCCCAGACAGGAACAGAGCCAGGCGTGCACACCGACACAAAACAACCAACCTGCGGTTCTTTGAACCTAAAGGCTGGAGGTAATAAACTAACAGTATGTTTTTCTCAGCCTTGTTTTTGTACCTGCTGGTAAAACATTTATAAAAGCTGATGTATGCAGCAAACCTCCAGGTAAAGAGATAAGAAGAATGAAACCATCTGCTCAGCCGTTTGTGCAAACAGGATGAATTGCTGTTCTGTTCCGGGAGGGAACCAAACCAAACACAGATAATCAAAGCACACTGTGTTCTGGTAAAAAAAAAAGATCCTTATTAGCTCAGGGGATTTCAGCGTACCTGAGTCTGTCTGTCCGTTCTTATATGAATTGGCGTATACTGGACTTCCCCGTCTGAACCTGCACTCGAACAAAATGGAAACAAATGTAGAGTTTATTGTGGAAAAAGGTTAGAGAGTTTCACACAAACAAGAAGCAACAAAAATAAAAACAGAGACACGACAGAATGGTCTAAAGACGACATCAGTGTCCCTCCGTGTAGGAGAACATTGTTAATTAAACACAGATTTTTTAAATGTTCTGTTGGCCTGAACATAAAAAAACAGTCCAAACATCAACACGAGGAGCCGAAACAAAAAGAGGATTTCTTCAAACTAAATTCTCCAAAGATCTCATGTCCTCTCAGTCGGACATGCCCAAAGCACCTCCCTAGGGAGGCATTCAGGAAGCATCCTTACCAGAGTTCATGTCCATAGGTGAGGGCAGGAATGTAGACTGACCAGAAAGTAGGTTTACGTTACAGCTCATCTCCCTCTTCACCACAACGGACTGGTACAGAGTCCACAATACTGCAGACGCTGCTCCAAATCATCTGTCAATCTCACGCTCCGTTCTTCCCTCACTCATGAACAAAACCCTGAGATACTTGAACTCCTTCACTTGAGGCAGAATCTCACCCTCAAACCGAAGAGAGCAATCCACCCTTTTTTGACTAAGGACCAAGGCCTCAGATTTGGAGATTGGGATTTTCATCCCAGCCGCTTCACTCTTGGCTGCGAACTGCTCCAGTGAGAGTTGGCTATCATGGCAGGATGATGTCAACAGGACCACATCATCTGCAAAGAGCAGAGATGAAGTCTTGAGGCCACCAAACCGAACTCCCTCCGCCCCCTGGCTGCACCGTGAAATTCTGTTCATAAAAGTTATGAATAGAATCAATGACAACGGGCAGCCCTGGTGGAGTCCAACTCCCACCTTGAAGGGGTCCGACTTACTGCCAGAAATGTGAACCAAACTCTTGCACCGCTTGTATATGGACCAAACAGCCCGTAACAACATGCCCCCAATTCCATACTCACAGAGCACCCCCCACAGTGTACCTCAAGGAACATGGCTGAAAGCCTTCTCCAAGTCCACAAAGCACATATAGAATGGACGGGCAAACTCCAATGACCCCTCGAGGACCCTAGTGAAGGTAAAGAGCTGGTCCAGGACAGGACAGAACCTGTATTATTCCTCCTGGATCAGAGGTTGGACCAATGATCGGACTCGCTTCTCCAGTAGCCTACCCCTGAATAGACCTTACCAGGGACCTCTGTGGACCTCAACCAGTGATGTCGTTGGGAGGTGGAAGGAATACTTCTCCGACCTTCTCAATCCCATCAGCACGTCTTCCATGGAAGATGTTGAGTCAGGGGACATCAGGGTTGGTCTGTCCAAAATTGTGTCTGAGGTCGCCGAGGTAGGTAAAAAGCTCAGCGGCGGCAGGGCTGGGGGGGGGGGGGGGGGGGGGCGTATGAGATTTGCTCCTATTTTTCTTAAGGCTCTGGATGTGGGGCTGTCTTGGTTGACACGCCTTTACAATGTTGTATGGACATCTGGGGCAGTGGCGCTGGTTTGGCAGACTGTGGGGGGGGGGGGGGGGGGGGGAGTTCCTCTCTTCAAAAAGGACCAGAGATTGTGCTCCAATTACAGGGGCATCACTCTCCTTAGCCTCCCTAGTAAGATCTATTTAGTTCCTTCAAAACATTGTTTCCTGTGAAATCTGCTTCAGCTACTCCATCTGTTTTGTTCTTTTTGTGCTACTTGTCGCTTTTAGCTAACATTATGCCGTGTGTGTGTTGGTGGCCATCTTGAATTTTGATGTGACAACCCAATTTTTAGAGGGAAGCTTTCTTACATCTAGATGCAGCCAAACATCAAAATGGAAGTCGGTGCCTCACTTATTTTTCAAGTTATCATGCTCACAACATGGGTGGACATTAATAGTGGCATCCATCTTGGATTTGGACAATTTGACAATATGAATACCCTCCAGATTAATGACACAAGCTCCAGAAACAGCCAAATAAAACAACAAAGAATCTTTAACTTGTTTAACATAATTAAGTTACGTTGGATTTACATTAAATGAAAGTTTGTGTCAAATTTAACCTCCGTATGAAACTAAAGGCTCCAGTTTCACTGTCTGTAGGTGGCTTCTTATGAACCTGAAATGATCCATTTAAATAGTGTCAATGAATTAAAACACAAGTACCTGCCTTGTGTTTGTCTGTGTCCCTTTTTGCTTTGAATATATCTCTGCTTGATAAAACAGGCGCAGAGTCCAATAAATGCAATAAACACAGAGACGAGTCCAATTGGAAGCCAGTCTGTCGACCAAAACAAAACACAAACACTGTGAACCAACAGGAACGGCCTTTAAAACGTAATATTTATATTTAAAAATCAGTGTTCGTAAGAGTCTTACATTGTCTCATTTGGTTATCTCCGTCTGACTCGGTGAACCTACAGGTTTCCCTCAGGTCGATATGATGAGTCTGGTTGTCTGCAGGGTTGGCAGCAACACATTTATACTTGGAGCCTCGGTCTTGTCTGTGCACCAAAATGAATGAAGAGAGCTCCGAGCTGCTCTGGTTCAGTAGCTCCTGGTCTCGGTACCAGGACAGATTAATGGGTTTGTCCACGGAGCAGAGCAGCCAGCAGCTGTCGGAGCTGACATTCAGACGTTTCACCACAGGAGTCGGAGGCGAGTCTGCAGAGACACGAGACAAAACACGATTATTAAAATTTACACTACTGCAGATTTTTATGAAACCTGTTTCCTGGTGTTTTTCAGTGTTTCACAGCCCAATAACTATTTGTCATGTAATGTACTCTCACATTTTGGATTTCTCCAGTACCTAAAGTGAATTCATTTTTATATTTTAAAGAACACAAATGGTTAAATCGTGTCATCTGGACCTGTTTCAAAAGCAAGACAAAAGCAACTGGACTTTATTTGTAACAGAAGAGGTTTCGCTTCTCATCCGAGAAGCTTTCTCAATTCAAAGAGCAGAGCGTGTGGGGTTCAGGTTATAAAGCTAAAATAAGATACACATACATATGCAGATTGACATATCACACCTCACACCTCACAGTGGGGGTTTGTTAAAGTCTTTGTTAATCTAATTCACAGATGAGGCCCCTCTGTTAATTGACTCTATCAAATGGGAACAGAGGGGCCTCATCTGTGAATCAGATTAACAAAGACTTTAACAAACCCCCACTGTGAGGCGTGATATGTCAATCTGTATATGTATGTGTATCTTATTTTAGCTTTATAACCTGAACCCCACACGCTCTGCTCTTTGAATTGAGAAAGCTTCTCGGATGAGAAGCGAAACATCTTCTGTTACAAATAAAGCCCAGTTGTTGTTTTTTTACTTGAACATTTTTTAATTTGTTTGTTTCTAGTAAATCCCTAAGAATATCATAAAAAAGTTAAAAAAAAAAGCTCCAGATTTATTGACTGCATGATAAATTTTAATGAGATGTAAAAATACTTTTATTAAAAACGTTTTTGTGATTTTTATTTACATTCGTCTGGTGTTTGAGTCAGTTTTAACTTCTGGTTTTGGACCGGAAGGAGACCTGAGAGTCTGCAGGTTCTTCCAAACACCTTTAGAACCTCCATGCCAGACTTTGTGTTCTGTAAACAAGTGTTGAAGAACCAAACTGATTTGAACCACAGAGAGCAAGTCTGTCTTGTTCGTTCAGTATTATTCTCATGAACTTTGATGTATTATTCTGTTATTTGTTTACTGGTTAGATCTTCAGTTACCGACTCAACCTGTCTGTCTAATTGTTGTTTTGTCCTGCTCTTTATTCTAATTCAGGTTCTGTGAGTTGAGCAAGTTTTACTTTTATTACAGTTAAAAAGGCCCAGAATCGACCTTGAGGTAAGTTAAATACTTTAGCTACAGTAAAGGAATCTCTCTGTTTGCAGACGATATGGTTCTGTTCAGAGTAAAATGGATCATTCATGGCTGACCTGTGGGTCAGAACCTCTCAGTCTGGAGTCTTGAGACCACTTCTTTTGGATCAGGGAGGAGTCTCTGCCTCAAACAGGAGAGTTCAGTAGTATCTAAGAGTTTGGATGGTAGGATGGAGCAGGAGATGGACTGCTGCATCACTTGTCAGTAATGAAGGAGCTGCTCTGGTCTGTCATAGTGAAGCTGAGCAGAAAGGCAAAGCTCTAGATCTACTGGTCCATCTACGAATCAGATCCTGGACCCAAGCAGCTGAGATGAGCTCCTCTGTAGGGTGGCCAGGCTCAGCCTTAGAGATGAGGTGAGGAGCTCCGTCATCTGGGAGGAGCTCGAAGTGGAGCTGCTGCTCAAAAAATAAAAGTCAGTTGTTTGAGAATCTCATTAAGTCTCCTCCCAGTGAGACAGGAGGACATGTCTCACTGGGATGAGACCCTGGGGCAGACCCAGAGCTCTATGCAGGCCTTGTATGTCCATCTGTTATCTTGTTCTGGAGTCAGGGCTTGGGGCAGCAGTCTGAGTAGGTCAGGCCAGGGTCTTCCTCAGGGTCTTCTCCATGATGAACGTGTCCAGAACACCTCCCTAAGGAGGAGTTCAGAACCACAGGTGAGGGTAGGAACGTAGACCGACCGGTAAACAGGGAGCTTCTCCTGCAGCTCAGCTCCCTCTTCACCACAACGGACTGGCACAGAGTCCACAACACTGCAGAAGCTGCACCGGTCTCAAGCTCCATTCGTCCCTCACTCGTGAACAAAACCTCTTCATCGTCTCTGATCTCACGTTAACTCTACAGAAAACACATCCAGATTATTGAAGTCTGGAGCCTCGATGTCAGACTGGAAACATCAATGCACTGACGAGAGATATTTATATTATATTTATATTTACGAGAAAACGGGACTCACCGTACACTGCCAGGTGATAGGATAAAACTGAAACTTGTCCGTGTTTATTATCAATGGTATAAATTCCAGAGTTATTTTTCTGCAGGGTTGTGATGGTAAAGAGACCAGAGTTTCTGTCCCAGACAACCTGGTTCTGGTAAATGTTCTCCACTAACTCAAATGTTCCTCTAATGACCATAGCAATGTTCTGTCTTTCCTTTAAAAGAAATCCACTCTCCTTCACTGAGATGGGGAAAGTGATGTTTCCTCCAACGAGTCTAGCCAGGGTGTCCTTCACCTCCACCTCAGCAGCAGAGACCATCAGCAGCAGCTCTAAAAAAACAAAACAAAAAAACAGATTAAAGTCATTAAACTATGAGAGTGCGATGTTCTTTAACATCTCTCACTTTCATGATCCGTGTTTTCATTAGTTTAAGTCCCAAGGGGTTTTCTTGAAGACCCTGCACAAAAATACCATGCCCACATAAAACTGGGTGTTTCTCAGCAATGACAAATTCTGTTTAATTAACCTTGGTGTCAAAATAAAGCTAACACTTGGGAGATTACATCAGAAGTGTCAGTATCACAGCAGTTGCTATGGTTTCACGGAAAATGAGGAAGAATCATAGGAAAAAAAGAGGATTTTTTTCTCCTCGCCTGAAGTTTTTTCTTGCTTCACATATATAACCCCTTTGAAAATAGGATGAAGAAAGTTAAAAGCTCTTAGAAACTTTGAAACGTGGACATTGCTTTTGCAAAGATTAATTCTGTTGAAATAAACTAGAACAAAGGCCCTGAACAAGGCCCATTGGGATTCCATGACCTGACCTCCCCCAGGTCACACGAAAAACTCTCCTGGAGGTTTGAGTCGAAAGTCGCACCGACCGAGGACTTTACCAGACGTTTCCAGTTCCTCCTCACAATGCGTTTGGTTTACCAGGCCTGTCCAGCAGCCTCCCCCACCACCGGATCCAATTGCCACCACCAGGTGGTGATCCGTTGACAGTGCTGCCCCTCTCTTCACCCGAATGTCCAAGACATAGGACTTTATGCAAGACCCACAAATTCAAAGTCTAAATTAGCCCAAGTCCTTCAATTCCTCTGGCAGACTGTAGATAAACGTCTGCGAGTTGGTGTCCACACCAAGAAAACCCAGTGGAATCACCAGAAATGTTGCAGACTTAGGCGAGTTGTACATGGACGTCAACATATGTTTACATAGATAACAGATACCAGTAAAAACCAAGGAGATCATCATGGACTTTAGAAGAGCCATCAATGTGTTGATCTCTAGTGGAACGGGTGTCCGGCTTCAAGTTCATGGGTACTCACCTCTCTAAGGATCTCTCTTGGTCACTAACACCTCAATTCAAGTTAAAAAAGGTGCAACAGCTTATTTATTTCCTACGAAGCTTTAAAAAAGCTCACCTGTGCTCGAGGATATTGCTGGACATTTATCGCTGTACCATCGAGAGCATTCTCACAAACTGCATCTCAGTATGGTACATTAACTGCTCTGCGTCTGACCGTAAGGCAATCCAACAGGTGGTGAAAACCGTCCAACACATCACTGACACTCAGTTACCCACAAATGAGTGCATCTACCCAAATGTTGCCTGGGCAGGGAGAGGAAAAATATCAAGGAGGTTTCTCATCCTAACTTTGGACTTTTCAATCTCCTACCATCTGGTATGCGTTACAGGAGCCTCTGTTCACTAACAGACTCGGAAAGAACGTCTTTCCCCACGTTTTTAACATAAGCGTTAAAAACAAATAAACAATTTTAGTTGTAAATGTGTTTATCTGCAGCCTTGATAATGAAAATACTGGATCAGAAGGACCATACTCTTACTTAAGACATTAAAATGAGAAACTATGAGGAGCACCGCAACTCAACCTTTTACTACAGTTTTCATTCAACCTTCATTTATACAGGTTAATCCCATTGAGCCTCGGGGACTCATTTACAAGAGAGACTTGATTTTAACAAAGAGTGATGACAACAGTACAACTAAGACAACAGCAAACAATCATAAAAGAAAGCATATAAATTGAGAAGAATAAACGAAAGACGACTGTATTAAAAAATGACAGCTAGATTGTAAAGCGATGTAGAAAACTAAAAATAGGAACATCTGCATTGGTTTTTGTCATGAACTTAGCAGATGTTTGAAGCCACTTACAGAGGTCAAGGTCGAGAGCTTCGGATCTTTTTGCAAGAACGGAGTAGAAGAAAGCCCTTTTGCCTAGTTCAGTCCTCATTGAGGGAACACTGCATGTAATAATGTCCTGAGAGCGCACGCTGTAGCTGCACTCACGCAGAGACATGTAGGAGGAGATGTATGAAGGCAACAGACCAAGAAGTGATTTAAAGATGAAAATGTAGAGTAAGAGTCTATATGTGAAGTTAATGATGACCAACCAGTGAACACAGGGTGCAACGGTGGGTACGGTAGTTACAGCCAGTTATGAATTTTAGCACACCGTGATAGACGGCATCCAACATCTGCAGGGTGCTTGTAGGAACGTTCATGTCAATAATGTCACTGTAGTCAATGGAAGGAAGGAAAGTTGCAGTTACAACGCGTTTCCTAGCATTCAGAGTTAGACAGGATCTGTTTCTGAAAAAGAAACCCAATTTAACTTTCAGTTTCCTTACCAAGTTTTCCACATGGAGCTTAAAAGAAAGATGTAAATTGACCAATATACCCAAATACAGTATTTTTAGGAATCGACATACTCAAGAGGAGCACCAGTCAAAGATAAAAACAGAGGAAGAACTGCTGGGACCGACTTCCTGTTTGAAAACAACATCCCATTTAGGACAAGTCTGAGATAGTGCAAATCTGACTGGATGATGATAAAAGCGGATTGCAAAAGCTGCAAAACCTTACCAACTGTTTTAGCTCGACAATAAACAACTGTATCATCAGAATAGAAATGCTGATGCTGCATCAGGAATGCTCTGACCTACATTACCTATGTAGATTGTGAAGAGGGTGGGTCCTAAGACTGAGCCTTGTGGTATACCATTGTTAACCGTTAAATAATTGCAAGAAGTACCATTATGTTGAACACATTGCCTCCTATCTGAGGGATAGTAGTGAACCAACAAATGGTGTGAACTGAGAAACCAGTTTCTGAGAGCTTAAGACATAAGATGCTATAGCCCACAGTGTCAAAAGCTTTAGACAGGTCTCAAAGTGCAGCACAATAACCCTTCAATGACATTATTAAAAACCTTCAGCAAAGTAACTCTGAAAACAGACTGCAGTTGGGTGATATTTCTAAGCTCCCACATTTTAAAATCAGAGAAAACCTAAAGAAAATGATCTGCACTCCAGTTTAGTTTTGTTTCTCCAACTTGAAAACATGTTTAAAATGGTTTTATTTCCCTTACACCTTTGACAAACTGTTTGTATCCAGCAGGTAATCAACAATCAGCTTCAACCAGGAAATTTACTGCAGTTTAAAGAAACTTTGTAACTTACCAATCAAAAATAAAATGAATGTAATCCGCATCTTCACAGAGTTAAATGGAGGCAGACATCCTGAGTTTATGCCTCTGAAAACAGACACTTCCTGATTAGAGCTACAGGCTGAAACAGATGTGGCTGAGCTGCCTGGTGAAGTCAAATAAGAAGGAAGGGTGGAGCATCGGGGCTCACACTTTTTATATCAGCTTGATTTTTACATATTTGAGCTCAGGAGTCCTAAAACTCATTTAAATTAATTAATTAAAATGTTTGCATCTTTTCTTCTTGTCTCTATTTGTGCTTGCAGCATCCGATTTACTTTTTCCATCAACTCACAAACAACTTTTCACCACTTTTATATTCTAATGTCCCAGAACATGATACTCACATTTCTCTTGTTAGAGCACTAAAAGCAGCAAAAAGCTAGCCAAAGCAGCTAAAGGCTAGCAACAGCAACAAGTCTAGACAAAAGCAACAAAAGGCTAACTGAAATTATTAAAAAGACAAGTTAAAAGCAGCACGTTGGCTCAGTGGTTAGCACTGTTGCCTCACAGCAAGAAGGTCCTGGGTTCAATCCCCGGTTGGACCTGGGGCCTTTCTGTGTGGAGTTTGCATGTTCTTCTCGTGCTTGAGTGGGTTTTCTCCCGGTACTCCAGTTTCCTCCCACAAATCAAAAACATGCACGTTAGGCTACTTTCATACCCAGGCCTCCGTTGCAAAAGAGATCTGTGATCTCAATGGGATTTGCCTGATTAAATAAAGGTTAATAAATAAATAAACATAAAATGCAAGCTCAAAGCAGCAAAAGATTAGTCAAAAGCAGCAAAAATGCAAGCTGAAGGCAGCAAAAATAGCTAAAAGCAGGGAAAAGCTAGTTAAAAGTAACAAGTGGCTAACTAAAGACAGCAATAGGCTAGCTAAAAATCTAAAAAAGACTACAGGTAAAAGCATTTAAAAGACAGGTTAAAAGCAGCTAAAGTCTAGTTCAAAGCTAAAAGCGTCAAAAGGCTAGCCAGAAGCTAGAAGTGGATGTATATATGGTGATGTTTATTAATTTGCATGATTGCATTTTATTTTGTTGACCGCTAAACAAAGATCTCTTCATAAATAAATATTATATTGTATTGCATAAATATTCTATACACACATGAGAAAACACATTCTAAGAAGATGACCCTCCTTTTGATGAACAGGATGGTACTGCTCTTTCTTTAGAGTCCAATCAGAAATATTAAAAGAGTTTACAAACATTATTATTATTTTTTTTACAACGGTTTGTTTAAAATTATCTGTTCTGATTGAAATTCACGTTTAAAAGCTGCAAAACTCGAAATAATTTTCGAGCATGTTGATTCTCAACAACTGAAGCTTTTATCTGCATTTTGTTTCCAGTAGATGAAGAAGAAAGACGTAAAACACGAGGAGCTCCGTGAAGAGCAGACTCTTTAGTTTTGCTGCTGCAGCGTAGTCTTCCGGTGAGTGACTCATTTCGGTTCTTGATGCAAACCACTCAGCTCTTCCTGTTTACTGAGCTGCACTCAGGACATGAGAGCCATCTGCTTTCGGCCCCATGGCCGTGGAGTGTTAACCACACCAAGAACTGAGATGATTCATGTCAGTTCTGCTAAACTTAACCACAGAACAGGGTTCTCACATGATCTGCAGCTAACGAATGAACCATGAGACCCCCCATGCAAACTCTCTTCAGTATCTGACAAGTTTGACGCAAACGAGCTGCAAACAACGAGCAACAAAATGTTCTGGTCTGAGTTTGGACCTTTTCAGTAAAGAAAGAGAAGAAGCCCACAAAGTTCTTGAAACAACTTGAAACCGACACAAAGGAAGGAGCTGGAACTTTATGTTGTGGTGCTCAAACTTTTGTCCCTTCAAGTGATTTCTGCGCCTGACCGCAGGTGTTCTGGTCCACTTCTCCTGATCAATCTGCTCCAGCTGTTTCAGGTCTGAAGGGTTCCTCCTCCAGATGTTTCAGCTCCTTCTGGAGATGTTCAACAAGACTTAGATCAGGGCTCAGAAGGACACCAGTGCAGTCCAATGTTTGGTTGTCCAGGGAGGATGTCTCCAGTCCTGTGGACCTTCTGAACCATCTGTGCAGCTGTAGTCAGGGGAACATCAAGCTGATGGAGATGGTCTGGTCTGTTCCTTCAACACGATGTTCATTATTGTCTTTTTAAGCTCCGGAGCCACTCTGTCCTCAGCTTCCTGCGGTCCATGTTCAGTGTGTTACACGCCATGTTAGCAAACAGCCCTGTGACTACCAGTCATCCTTTAAACAGGCTGACTGATTACAGACTGAAGACACCTGAGAGACAGGACACACCTTAGTTGGACATGTCCCTGTGGACAGATTAGTTTCAGTTTCTTATAAAGGGTCCATCTTTGTTTGGTTTGTAAATAATTATTTGGAACCAACATTTAACAGCCGTAATGATTTTTATTAGTTACACATTTTAGTGTTTGTTTTTCTTCTCAGTATCACTTTTGTCAGTTTCAAGTCACTTCAGTTAGTGTTTGGTTTTATATTAAAATGGTCCAAACAGACCAGTCCAGATCTGGTCTGGTCCTGTACAGTCACTGTTGCTGCAGGCTGCAGATCACCTGGAGACATTTGTGTATACAGCAAACATGCTGGAGCAGGTTTTATCAGGGTCATGAATACTTGTCTGGTCTTGTACAAATATTTGACTTCCATGTAGAGCAACGATCTGAGTTTACAGTAAAACAGGAAGCAGCCGCTGATCAGCCTCCCATTCTGTTTCCACTGGAAAAACCCTCACACTCCTTCCAGACACTTTTCCACCACCATGCTTTAACGCATGGGCTTCAATATGTGGTCCGCAGACCATTTGTGGCCATTTGATTCAATTCCAGCAACTGTTTTCAAAGAAAAGTGAATAATTTTATACGTTTGTTCCCAGGAAGAGACGAAAACACACTTTACAAGCACAAGAAAACAAAGAGGTCCAACAAATTAAAACAACCAAATAATTTTATTTTAATAACGTCAATGTGACAACGATTTCTGTTTATCACCAAAATATAAAATTCCTATTGTTTAGGCTGTTGTGAGCTAAAAATAAAATAAAAATATATATATTTTTTTTACAGATTTTAGATCAATTTTTAAATTTGTGTGTCCTGAATGTTTTTAGTTTGGCAATGTTGTTCGTTGTGTCAAAAGTTTGGGCACTCCAGCGTCGTGGTTTTGGAGGATTTCCACATGTGGAGGTTTGACGTGAACTTGTTTCTTTAGGTTTTCAGGATGGAATGAATATAATCAAAGCCATGAAATGTAGAAAACAGAAACATCTGGAATATTTCTCATGAAGGTAACCAGCATATTTCCCAGCAGGCTTTTCTCCTGAAAGGTGCGGTTAAAGGATTTCTGGAGGAATGGTGCAGAGAAAACAACAATTTGCTCTGAAGATCCCTGAAACTGCTACAGGCTGTGAAACGTCTCCAGCTGTGGCTGCTGATGCCAGCTGTGATTGATGTTTGTGTCACATCACTGAAGATGTTGACGGTTTCTGTTGGCGTCTTCAGGCCATCACCTGCAGGTGCCGCAGGTGGACGGGTTCAGGTATCTGGACATCTTGTTCTCGAGTCATGAAGCAGGAGATGGATCGATGGTTTGTGGCCTCATCCTCAGTAATGAGGGCGTTGCTTCAGTCAGTCGAGGTGACGAAAGAGTTGAGTCTAAAGGCAAAGCTCTAGATTTACTGGTTTGTCAAAGTTCCAATTCTCACCTGTGGTCTTGAGGTTTGGATCAGGAACCAAAGAACCAGATCCTGGATCCAAGCGGCTGAAATGATCTTCCTTCGTAGAGTGTGTGTGTGTGTGTGTGGGGGGGGGGGGGGGGGGGGGGCTCAGCCTTAGAGGTAGGAGGCGGAGCTTCATCATCTCTCCTGAACCTGCTGCCTCCTTGACCTGACTGCAGATACGAGGTAGATGATGAAGAAGATGAAGACGGAGAGACGCTACAAAAACTTAAAAGCTCTCTTAAATCTGAGGAATGTGAGAAGAATAAACAAAACAAAAC